TGTCATTAGAAACATTTCCAGAGACTTTAGATGGTTGTTTATATAATTTTCACCAGTTTCACTATGAGCTGGTTCACAAAGTTCCTCAGGCTGCATGACAGAAGTGGCATGTATCAATTTACATGTAATGCTAGTATTGATGTAGGTGGAATTATACTATATTAATTTGTTTTTGATATCTCATGTCTTTTTTGTTCTATTCCTCCTTTCCTGCTTTCTTTGGTACTAAGTAAATATTTCCTAGTAAAATTTTTTATTTTTTCCACTATATTTAAAAAATTTTCTTAGTGGTTGCGCGATGGTTTGCCATATGCTTCTTAGCTAATCAGAATATACTTCATTTTTTAAAATTTAATTTAATTTTTTTTAGAGACAAGGTCTTGCTCTTTTTCCCAGAGGTGAGTGCAGTGGTGCAATCACAGCTCACTGCAACCTCAAAATCCTGGGCTCAAGTATCTTCCCACCTTAGCCTCCTGAGTAGCTGGACCTACTGGCGTATGCCACCACACCTCACTATTTTTTGTTTTTCTTTGCAGAGACAGGGTTCTCACTATGTTGCTTAGGCTGGTCTCAAACTTCTAGCCTCAAGCGATCCTCCCACCTTGGCCTCCCAAAGCACTGGGATTACAGGTATGAGGCACCATGCCCAGCCTTATACTTCATGTTTCTATTATCTCTTTTGAGGTATACAAATGCTACTCTTTTATAGCTCTATTCCCTCTTGTCTCTTTTTTCCATTATTATTCATATTACATCCATGTAATATGTTAAAATATGTTAATATATTATGATGCATGTAACATATTAAACATAATACATTATTTTATTACTCTATATAATTTTTTTAAAAAGCTGAGATAATAAAAGGAAGCAACTATTTACTTACAGTTATATTAATCTTATTGATTTAACACTTCTGTTCTTCCATCTCAGTATTTCCTACCATTTTTCTTTTCTCCTGCCTTCCTAGGGAGAACCATTAAGTTTTTAACATTTATATTCCATTAGAATGTGATTTTTTTCTTTTTTTAATTTGAGATAGAGTCTCACTCTGTTGCCCAGGCTGGAGTGTAGTGGTGCGATCTTGGCTTACTGCAACCTCTGCCTCCTGGGTTTAAGCAATTCTTGATTCTCATGCCTCAGCCTCCTGAGTAGCTGGGATTACAGGAGTGCACTACCATATCCGGCTAAGTTTTGTATTTTTAGTAGAGACAGAGTTTTGCTATGTTGACGAGGCTGGTCGTGAACTCCTGGCCTCAAGTGATCTGCTCGCCTTGGCCTCCCAAAGTGCTGGGATTACAGGCATGAGCCACTGAACCCGGCTTAAAATATGCTTTTTAAAGACCAAAGTAAAATAAAAATGTGTTGGTGGATTGAATTGTGTCCTCCCAAAAGATGTCCATGTCCTAACCCCAGTAATTGTGAATATGATCTTACTTAGAAATAGGGTCCTTGTGGGTGTAATTAAGTTAGGGTTCTGGAGATGAGATCATCCCGGATTAAGGGTGAGCCTGAAATCCAATGACTTATAAGAAAAGGGAGAGGAAGATTTGACATGTCATATGAAACAAGGCCTTATGAAGGTGGAAGAGGACATTAGAATTATGCGCTCACAAACCAAGGAATGCCAGGAGCCACCAGAAGCTGGAAGAAGCAAAGGATTCTCCCCTAGAGCATGGTCTTGGCAAACACCTTGATTTTGGACTTCTGGCCTCTAGAACTGTGAGAGAACAAATTTCTGTTGTTTTAAGCCACCCAGATTGTAATAACTTGTTATGGCAGCCCTAGAAAACTAGTATACCTACCAAGTAAACATTCCAGATTTATCTTCTACGTAAATCAATTTTTGCTTCAGTTTATAAAAACTTTCCTCCCTGTCCATGTAAGACTTTGGCCACAGGGTTTAGAGCAGTGATTCTATTGTTACAAAATACTTCAAACATTAGTCCTCATTTATTAGTATTGATCTTGAACAACAAACAAACACATTTCATGGGAACACATACATTTCAATAACTTTCCTATTCCCTATCTAGGCATTACAATCAAGAAAGTAGCAGGGAAGTTGTGCCAGTTCATCAATTTGTTGCTTATCATCTCCAAATTCACCATTATTGACTGCTCTGTGAAAATGGATCTGAGCCATTTAAGTATTTTTCCTTTTGTCAGCTGGCACTGAAGCTTTTCCAGTAGAGGAAACTGGAAAGATGGTGCAGAAAGAAAAGGTTTTGCTCCCTGCTTCTGGCCGGCTTACTGGGTAGGGTGTTCCTGCAGCTTGTGCAGCTCTCTCCAGTGGCTGGCTTCTGTGCTGCAGTTTTGGCAGCATCAGGCAGCTTCCCCTGGCACCCTCCCTCTTGCAGTTTTTGTAGTAAAGTTCCTCTGCTGAAATACTTCCCTATGAACATCCTTCTCAGGCACTCTAGCAGGCTAATTGCAGAGGGTGGGTTTCCAGCAAGTTCTAGAATGCAGAGTTCCAGTAATTTCCAGAGGTTGGAGTTTCAGCAAGTTCTGCCTGTAAGGAAATACAGAATCTTCCGGCCGTAGAGTGAGTGTCCACTGGCTGTGTTCTCTCCAAGAAGGTCTGGATCTCAGCTAAGGGCAGAGAGTAAGTGTGGAGGGTGCTTCATCTCAGTTCCAGGGGTAGTGGCTATCATATCTACTATTATATACTTGCTATATCTATGGTATTTAGAGTTCTCTTTACTTCTTTACTTCTCTTTACTTCTTGCTAGCTAAGCCCTCATCATTCCAATTTCCTGTTATCATTAATAATTATTTATCTTAAACTTCCCTTATTCAAATGATCATGGGCTTTTTCCCTCCTGAATGAACTCAGACTGATACACAGGCGATCATGGAATCGCCACATAAATTTTGAAAGAGTACACAAATATATTTTCACATGAATTTTATAACAATTCCTTGAAGTAGACATGGCAAGTACTATTTATTATTCACATTTTACAGGTGAGGAATGAGGTTCACAGGCTGTGAGTGAACCAAAGTCATAGTCATTTTTATCATTTGTAAAATGAGAATAACAATCGAACCTGTCTCCTAGGGTCATTGTAAAGATTAAATGAGGTAAGCACGTAAAAGTGCTTAGGAGATGATAATGGCTTGTTAAGTGTTAACTGTTACATACAGGTCAAACATCCCTAATCTAAAAATCCAAAATTCAAAATGCTCCAAAATCCAAAATTTTTGAGTGCCAACATGACACAAATGGAAAATTCCACATCTGACCTCAAGTGGAGGATCACAGTCAAAAGGCAGTCAAGACTTTGTTTCATGCACAAAGTTATTGAAAATATTATATAAAATTATCTTCAGTCTATGTGTATAAGGTATAAATGAAACAAATAAAATTCACATTTAGACTTGGGTCCTATAGCTGAAATATCTCATTATGTATATGCAAATATTCCAAAATCTGAAAAAGTCCAAAATCCAAAGTATTTCTGGTCCCAAGCACTTTGGATAAGGAACACTCAACCTGTACATTATACTTGAACTATAAAAGTATTTAGTCTGGTATTTTGCCAAACTACTTGCAATAAGTTGTCTGGGTCTCATGTATCTTTTTGTATCATTTTGTTTTACCAATTATTTGTATTTGTTTTGTCAAGTTGCATAGCAATAACAACCAAAGATAAGCCTATCACTTCACAATTACCTCCTGTGGTTATTGCTTTCTGAGGAAAAAAAAAAAAAATTACAAGTGAGAGCTAATCAACCTAGGCTAAGTTTGGTCAGCTTAGAAATTCAAGGCCCACTGTGGTCAATGGCAGAGCTCTGAGTGAGGAAACCCAATTCCCAAGAATATAGTCCTAAATTTAGACGAACCTTCAAATTGGAATATTTCAGTGTAAATAATACATGCAACTTAAAATGCATTTCTAGTATCATCAGGTTTAGGTGAGGGAGTGCGGTGAGGACAGGATGTTAAGGGAAAGTAGGGAAGAAAAGGACCTAGTTTACTAATCTGTGTCAATTATCATACCAACCCCTTTGATCACTGAAGATTTCAGCAACCAAATACTGAAGGTCACTGCGGTACCAAGAGTTGGGGTTATATATTAAACAGTGTAGTCCCGAACCTGTAGAAAACTATTGAAACCTTGCACAGAGATAGGCAAAAATACAGAAAGATTATTGAAAACTCTTGGTTAAAGTACTTCAGTAGTATTTGAAAACACAATAGGAAATTACCCTGTAGGAATGGGATAGATACGGCACGTGTTAAACTTTCAGAAGGGGGAACATGCTTCACGGTTGACTGCAAATTTCTCATGCAATACTTGTCAGAATCCGGGAGCATTTTAAGTGGTCTTCTAACAATATAAGCCCCGCATTTTTGACTGGTAAGTACAACATTTTCATTTGGTTACTACTACTACTACTAATAATAATTTTAAACAGAAACAAGTCACGACCAAATAGCGACTCTTATCCTCCCCCAGGCATAAAACCCTTTAGCCAGCTAGCCGCCTTTCCACGGGGTAGAGTGTAAACAAACAAATAAAACCGCTTTGGTGCCGGGAGGAAAAAGGGGAAAGGAGTCGAGTCAAAACACCTTCTCTCAAGTTCCTCAGGATCAACCCAGGGGGAAGGGTCCTCCACCGGAAAGGGCCGGATTGCCTTCACAGGAAGGGCAAGTCACTCCGGAGCTCGCAGACGCGAATGCCACCACAGAGTTCCAAGACGGCTGCCAGAGCGTCGGCCGTCAGTTAGCACCTCCCCCTCTTTCCCAGAGCTGTAGCTAAGCAACCATCGGGCTCCGGGAGAGTCTAGGCTCGGCTGCTGTATTAGTGCCTCTAGCGGGGAACTATGAGCACTGCAAAACCCTATCACCATTTTTACCCTCCCCTCTCTCCACCCCCTTTGCCCCCGCCCACCTCTTCGCCACTTCGGCTCCTCCCTCTTCTTCTCGCTCCGTCTATTTCTCTCTCTCTCTCCGCCCCCCCACCCCCCGCGTCTCTCTCTCTCTCTCTCTCTGTACTCTCTCCCTCTCTCTTCTCTCTCTCTGTCTCTCTCACTCACTCTCTCCTTCTCCCTCTCCCTCTCCTCTCTCTCCTTCCTCCTCCGCCTCCTCAGCTCTTGGGCTAGAATATCTATGGGTCGAAACGTGATGCGATGAATTCGAGAGAGAGCGAAACTAGGACGAGGAGTGCGGCGGAAGCGGCGGGACTCCCGGGCATGGGGGCTTCACCACAATAGAGGCAGCACCCCCACCCGCCCCCGCCAGCCCCTCCGGAGCGAAGCCCCCAAACCCCCTCGGGAAAAGGATGGCGGCGGCACCTACCCAGATCGAAGCCGGTGGGTAGCTGTGTCGGGGGGTGGGGGGTGCTAAGGGAATGGGGGCTTAGCGCGAAGGCTGTCAGTTTCTTTTGAAAAAGCTTCTATTTCTCTTCTCTTCATCCCTCTCAACCTCTTTTCCCCCTTCTTCCCTAGAGCTGTATTACCTGATCGCTAGGTTCTTGCAGTCTGGACCCTGCAACAAATCCGCTCAGGTAAGGGGAAGAAAGAGATCTGGGAGTCGTGGTGAATGATCCCAGTGGGGAAATCGAGGCAGCGGGACGAGCAGTTCCGCTGAGGGTGAGGGATAGGCCGGCCTTGACTAGTCAAACAGTCAGCGGCTGGGCTTTAAGTGTGGAGGGAGGAATGGGTTGTTGGCCCGAGCTGCTCCTCATATCTGTGTTTCCCTTTTGCTCAGGTGCTAGTGCAGGAGCTCGAGGAGCATCAGGTACGGAGCCCCTTCGGGAAGGGTGGGGAGGGTTGAGGTGAGACTGGAGGAGAAGGGGAGGGCAAGTCAGGGGCGGAAGACTGGCCGGGATAGAGGCTTCGATCTGGGTACCCGTTGCTGTTGTCACCGGGGTGAATTGGCTTCTTCCCTCAAAAGGGGCAGACAACGCTGGGGTCTTAACTCGTCTCCGCTTTATGCTTGTGGGAGGCGGTTTTTCAGGATTTCCTTTTCCGCGGCCCCCCTTCCCCCCCCATATACTCGTCTAGCTCTGAGCCAATAGCTATCAGGCCGAGAGAAATAAAGACGCTAAAGTGTTGAGGCTGGGACACAGGTTGGGTCCAGTTGATGGGGAGCGGAGGCTTTTCCTTCATCATTTGCCCCCCCTTCCCCCTTTCTTTTCGTCCGGCCCCCAGCTGATTCCGCGCCGCTTAGATTGGGAGGGGAAAGAGCACCGAAGAAGCTTCGAGGATCTGGTGAGTAAAGTTTTCATTTCAACTTAACCTAACTCTTTCACCACTCCCTCCCCACCTTGTACCCCCAACCCGCTCCCCACCTCTCAGCCGACGAGGTTCTAGAGCTCAGTGCAGAGCCAAAGAACGACTGCCCCTTCCCCCATCCCTGCTAGTCGGAAAAAGGGTACCTTGCCCTCCCCTTGGCCCTGCTTGTTTCCACCCGAAAACTTTGAAGAATGTGAGTTGATTATCAGAGGTGCCGTGTTGTGGATTATGAATATGTTACAAACATTGGGGAAGGCCCATTGTAGGCGGAAAAGGGAGAGAAACCAAGGGGTTATCTTGGGGCACGTACTAAGGTCTGACGCTGGCCAATGACAGCGTTGGTAACAGCCCGGAGTTCCGGATTAGTGGAAGAAAACTGGTTTCTGGTTGGTCCTGGCCTGAAATACGGGAACTAAGGCCAGGCTTGGTCTTTTTTTGGGGGGGGGTTAAGGGGGAGGCGTGGGAGGAAGGGGCTCTGGAGGGGAATTGACGGACCAGGGATTAGGTAAAACGACATAATTAAAAATAATAAGGAACGTCAAGCCAATTTCAAATTTTGCCGGTTAGGTGATGGTCTACTGAGTAAAAGCATAATCGTTATGTATCTCTGATTTTATAAGCTCATTCAATCACCAGTTAAGTCGCATTTTCATAGACCTGTTTTCACTAAATAAAAACTGAGTTATCACTTTTTGAGAATTGGTGAAACACGATTTTGGGTTTACAGGGAGACAACAATGGACATATTTGAAAATGGAATATACTTTAGTGAAGGACCAAAGGCATTGGATTGTCTGCGTTGTTTCTTCTGCAAATATAATTCATAGTATAAATATACTTTGTATTCAGCATTGACACACAAAAACAGGTGATCCTTTTTATTTTGCGGGGGAGGTTCCCTTGTGTTAGCTGCTGCCACAGTGCATTGGAGGGTAGTGAAAGGAGAAAGGAATGATGTTACTAAAATCTAAATTCAGCTATCTTTCCTTCAAATAAGATCCAAGTGGAGGAAAATCGGACAAAGTTAAAGAAAGTTGGAGGTGTATGGTAGACTCTAAATATAAATGATTTAAAATTTGCTTGCAATAGGACTATATTTAAATTGCTTTAGTGTTCATTTTGTTATTTTTGTTTATATTATAACAGTGAGGCCACATTTTTATCAAGTCTACCGATTGTATAGTTGTCTTATATTTTGCAAGTCACAGAAAATGGTATAATTGTGATAAGGGTAAACTCGACCATCTGTACTATTATTAGTAACAATTTCTCAGATGGAGAAAAATTAGTTTTGAAAAACTTCATGTACTGCCAGGTTAATTTGTAGTCAGTCTTTCTGTTGGACTTAAGTCTTTCCCTCCCCCTAAAAGAGGCAAAAACAACAATGCCTACTAATATGTTTTAACACTTAATGACTGTTACAGGTTTTTGTATATAGTTTCAATACTGAGGTGTATTGAAAATGTTTTCCTTTACATTTGTCCCTCTCACAGCCTATATGTGTTTTTTTAAGCAAGTGACAAAGGAGATTAAAAAGGAAAAGCTTTTTTGAAACTAACTTGACGGTGATAAAAAGGAAATGAAAATCAAAGTAATTAAAAAATAGAGTCTTCTGACCAAAAAAACCCCAACCACCCAGTTTACTAGACTTTTCCTCATATTGTAAAGACATATTTTTACATAATTGTGATCAGTGTCCATTTTATGCTTCATATTTTTCTTAACATTGAAAAATGTACTTGTGTATTTGAATACTCATCATTATTTTAATGGTAAGAAAAAATTCAGTTGTATTTAAGGTACTATATAATTTGAACCAAGCTTCCAGCTGAGCATTTGAGCTACTTCCAGACTTTTACTAATAACTTTGCATAGTTAGGTGGTCTTTTTCTGCTTTTCACTTTCTCCCCTATCCCTTCTGCCCCCAGTTATTTTCCTGGACTTTATTCCCTAAAGTGGAGTTACCAGTTCAAAGGGTCTCATGAGTTTTATAGCTCTTGTCATATATTGTTTGCTCTCCAGAAGACTGTACTAATTTATAATGTCATAATCTAGGTATTTAGAGTGAGTTTTTTAATAGTTTTAAATCATTCGGTTTCTTTAATATTTAATAGATGTCAGTAGCTCTTGGTTGACTTAGGTAGCTTTTTTTCATTACTGGTGAGGCTTGACCTTTAAGGAATTAAAAAAAATTGTTAATTCTTACATATACTCAATTTTAATCTATCTTTTAAATATTTTCTGTTTTTATATTTTCTTATTTTTTTTTATGTACACAGAGTTTCTTCTATTGTTTGAACATTATAGTTTAGATACTATGGTTTTCTTTTACATGTCTATGGACTTCTTTGTAAGGGAAGATGGGCAGGGTTGAGTGATAATTTGAACAGAGGTGTAGTGGCTGAGAAGGGAATGTGCAGTGTTGGTTTGATTGCTAGTTTTGTCAGTAATATTGTTGATTAAAATTATTTCACATCTGAGCTGATTTTGAGTGGCTTCTTTGTAGAAGAGATGGGATACTTTTTCTTGGGGTAAGTTTGTTTTTTTTTTTGGATGGAGTCTTGCTCTATCGCCAGGCTGGAGTGCGGTGTCGGGATCTTGGCTCACTGCAACCTCCGCCTCCCAGGTTCAAGCGATTCTCCTGCTTCAGCCTCCCAAGTAGCTGGAACTACAGGTGCACGCCACCATGCCCAGCTAAATTTTGTATTTTTTAGTAGAGACGGGGTTTCACCATGTTGGCCAGGATGGTCTTGATTTCTCAACCTCACGATCCGTCCACCTTGGCCACCTTAGCATCCCAAAATGCTAGGATTACAGGCGTGAGCCACCGTGCCCCGCCTGGGGTAGGTATTTTTTAAATTGCCATTGGAATGATGGATTTATAAAGTGTGGTCCTTGATTTAGCTGCATATTTTGGATTGAAATTTAGGGCAAATTATTAATAAATAGTATCATCTTGATTTATCTGGAATATTACATTATATAACAGTACTACAAACTTAAGGTGTATTGAGGTATGAAAAGGAAAGAAGACAAATGTACAATGAAGTGTTAACTAGGATATCAACATAGTAAACTGGGGTTGCATGGCCACGTATACTGCATATACGAGACAAAAATCCTGCCTTTTTGTTCATATGTATACTTGCATTTGAACCGATTGTCATTAATACTTAACTTATTTATCCAGAATAATATTAAGGTAATGATAAATTGGATTTCTTCAACATTTCATTACTGTTAGTAGTAGTAATGAAATCCTTACCTTCTGTTTTCTGAAACAATCATATGATTCCATGTTTACACTAAATTACATATTCTAGAAATCCTTGCCTTCTGTTTTCTGAAACGGTCGTCTGATTTAGTGTTTAGTGTTTTACTCGTAATTTTGAACACAAAGGAAGGTGCTTTTTTCTTAAAGCTGCTGGCAGTTAAGTATTGACGTATCCTGATCTGAAATGTCATTTAAAAAAGAATCTGTACATGAAGCTTCTTGGTCAGTTTATGTTGAACTGTAAGGTTTTTGAATATGGCATTTAAAATATAACACTCTCGGCCGGGCGCGGTGGCTCAAGCCTGTAATCCCAGCACTTTGGGAGGCCGAGACGGGCGGATCACGAGGTCAGGAGATCGAAACCATCCTGGCTAACACGGTGAAACCCCGTCTCTATTAAGAAATACAAAAAACTAGCCGGGTGAGGTGGCGGGCGCCTGTAGTCCCAGCTACTCGGGAGGCTGAGGCCGGAGAATGGCGTGAACCCGGGAGGCGGAGCTTGCAGTGAGCTGAGATCCGGCCACTGCACTCCAGCCTGGGCGACAGAGCGAGACTCCGTCTCAAAAAAAAAAAAAAAAAAAAAAAAAAATATATATATATATATAACACTCTCAATTTCCCAGAATTTTAAGTAATAATAGAGGGAAAATTTTGAAGTTGTGATTGTTTCTGAATTTTGATCTGGGCCCTTTATTTTCTGCTTCCTAGTTGGCTGTTGCCATATAATAGAATTAGATTTGCTTCTTGCAATTCTTCTTAAGGTAGATAATTTGAATAATACAGACGTCCTTTCATTTGTGGTGACCCTATTGAGTTGTTGGCTAATTTATTGCTTCCTCCTTGGAGCATTATTGGGGACAACAGAGTAATCAGGGTTGTGTGTATTTAAATGAACAGTTCTTGTTAATCTGTAAGTTTTATATATTGAAATGGTGATTTGGAAACTTTTTAAAAACTACAAAGATTTTAAAATCATTTTTAGGAGACTCCTATCGTAAGATTGAACCAGGGCCTGGTGTGGTGGCTCATGCCTGTAATCCCAGCACTTTGAGAGGCTGAGGCAGGCGGATCACTTGAGGTCAGGAGTTCAAGACCAGCCTGGCTAACATGGTGAAACCCCGTTTCTACTAAAAGTACAAACATTAGCCGGGTGTGGTAGCTCATGTCTGTAATTCCAGCTACTCAGGAGGCTGAGGCATGAGAAATGCTTGAGCCCTGGAAGCAGAGGTCGCAGTGAGCTGGAATCGCACCACTGCACTCCAGCCTGGGTGACTGAGACTGTCTGAAAAAAAAAAAAAGAAAAAAAAAAAAGACTGAACCAAAGTTATAAATATGTTTAGGTGTGGTATATAGTTTTACATTTATTTCGCATTTTCATCTGTAAAACTGAAAGCACCAGTTAGTGCTTACATTTGGAATGACATAAATTGTATTACTCTCATTTTATATGCAAAATACTAGAAGTAATTTTATGCTTTTTATGAAAAAACTTTTATAAAGGTTGTTTGTTATTGTCCTTAAAAAGTATACATACATCTATGATTATATGTTGTTGTAAGAATTTGCATCTGCATATAACACATTCAAATTCAAAAGTGTTTTCACATTATCTCATTTGATCCTCACCAACTACTTTAAAACACTGTATTTAAATTCCAGATATACCTGTGTTCTTTTCTTAACCAGCTGTTGTTCTCCAATT